ATACAATATGTCTCATTTTTTTTGTTGCCTATTTTTCTAGTGCTATGAAAATATTAACATTTTGGTTTATGTAAGTTATATATAAATTTATTTTTTACAATTATGTTTTTCATTTTTCTTTCATGTAAATAATGGTTATTGGTCATTATTGGGCAAATTGAGTTTGAGTTTGTAAAATGAGCTAAGATTGAATTGGGTATATTCTGGTCAACATTCACAAATAAGCTCGATTAAATGTGTCTTTATATGATTATTCCAGGTTATTTGAATGTTGTTTGAAGTGTTGGATAGTTCTATTTTCATTCTTGAAAATGTCTTTGCATTTATATATAAAACTTATGGCTGAGTATATGAAAAGTGGTGCTATTGGAAGCTATAAGTATAATACATATCATGTTTGTAATAACTTGACCATTCGTGTCTTGAAAAATCAATATGAATGTGAAATGTAACGTCCATTTTGACAGTAACGAAATCATCTGTCGACAGATGAACTGTCGATCTCGATAATTAGGCTCTGAAATTCTCGACAGTTGATTGCAGAAGTCAAATTTTGTTAAACTTCTCTTCTACGTGTAATTTTAGGGTTGAAATGTATAACATATCATTTGAGCAACATTATTACTTCATGAATTATAGAAATAATAGTTATGAATCCATCTGTAGAGATAAGCTATCATTCTAGAAAAAGAAGTCACCGATCCAAAAGGTGCTTGCCTGGACCACCGGAGGGTCCATCAGCTAGCTAGGTAAATGAGGGGATTTGTATGTATTATCACTTTAATTTAAAAACACATTTGTCCCATTGTTTGAAGTTTTTATCTTCATAATTTCAAACATGATTGTTTCTTACGAAGATACTGACCTGAAAGTTGATAACTCAAACTATCGAAAGGTCCATTGACTAGATGGGTAAAAGAGACAATTGGTATGTGTAACTTTCAGTTTTAAAAAAAAATATATTAGAATGTTTTGATTTCTTAATCTTGGTATTTGAAACTTGATTATTTCATATGAAGGTGTCGAACCGAAAGATACATGACCGGACAATCACGAAGTTCCCTATGTTTGTGGTAGACGGTAAGTTTCCATAGTGGGGTAGTTATACAATGTCAAATTCTTATATTTTACGTTAAATATGTTTAGTTGAATATAAACGTATCATTTCGATGTTATATTTCAAATTTTGGTAGAATCCGTTATTTTTTTTTCCATTATTAAATTTTGGTACCTAATACAACTCAAACCACTTTTGCATAGGAGCATGCACTGATGTATCATTGGCATCAACCATACCCGTTAAAGGTGACAATGATGTTAACGCAAATATGCAACGATTGACACATGTTCGAGTGCCTGCTGCATTGACTAGGACTCCATTCACGAAGGAGAGCGGATAGAAAGTCAACCAACGTTAAATCAAGCAACATATCAGATACATTGTACGAGTTAACTAGAGAAATAGTCACATATTCTCAAGGATAACATAACAGTTGTTTTAAGTAGTTAATGACGTGATAGTACTTTTGGATGTATTTATTTCACAATTAGAAATGTATTGTGATAGTACTTTTGTGTAGCTTTTTATTTTAAAATGTTTTACAGTTTTCTATCAGCGATGCGCACAAATATTTTAGTTTGTTATAACCGTTGCTTAAATGTTGTGTGCTCCTAGGTGAAATTCAATGGTAACATAGTTGAATTTGTTAATTTTGCAACTATTATGCTTATATGTAGACTATATTTATGGTTTCTAGTTTCTGTCAGGGATTCACGCGATAATGTATGTACATAATGCTGTATATTCAAATATATGTTACATTGAAATTTTTAGTGTACTTTACTCAATTGCAATGAACTGTCGAAAATTATTCATGCAATTTGTTATGATCAAATGTCGAGGATGACAGAAAAATCCATCGGGAACGGCAGATGATTGTCGGGCTGTTCTATAAATCCGTATTTTACTTAAGGATGGCAAATTGAATCGTCAAAATCGAAAACCGCGGTTAACCGAATTAAATGGGGCGAAAAAAATCGAACCGATAGTGCAATGGGGCGGATATGGTTTTTATTTTAATGAACCAGTTCGTGGCGATGCGGGTATGGTATTTATGCCGTCGAACCGAAATCGAACCGATTACCCTCAAAAAAAAAATTGAATTGATTATTGGACTTTACACTACTTTTCTATCTAGCCCAAAACAAAATCCCCTCCCCCCATTTCATCTACTTGACTTAGCCGGCCAACCATTTACCATTAGTCCATAATAATAGCATTAGTATGATAGTATATAAATACAAACCATACTCTTCACAAACCACAAACTCACGCACGACTCCTTTTATTGTTAATTTTTTTCTACTGTGTGTAGAAAATTATACTTCTTCATCATACTCTAGAATTTGTGCAACGTTTAGCAAGAAGGAAGTTGATGAATAGGTACTTTTTTTATTTAAATCTTAGTTAAAACCATTCTGGAATAGGTAGTATCGTTGTATTTTGTACTTACATTTCTTATTTACTATATAGGAATCAACTTTGAGTGTTGATCTATTCTAGTAAGACTTGTGGGAAAGAATGAATCAAGTAATTTCGATGCACAACAATTAAGAATGAAAGTAAAGTTTTATATTGTTATATTTATAATATTGTTTGTTAAATTTGTATTTTACAATTGAAAATTGGGATAATGTTTGCATTTTCATTTGGAATATTGTTTGATAACGTTTGTATTTTCGTTTGGAATATTGTGTTTTTTTCATTGATTTTTTTCATAAATTGTTTTATATCAATTTGACGGATGAATCTATAAAAAATAATTTATTTTCGTGGTTATTAACCGAACTGAACCGAACCGTACCGAATCGAACCGATTTACTGGTTATGATACGGTTATGGTATGGTCAAAAAATTGATGGTGCGGTTATGATTTTGGCCGAATCGACCCATAACCGAATCGTTGCCAACCCTAATTTTACTTGTGAAGTTGAACATATATTTGCCTGTCTACGAATGATGTGGGAATGATAATGACGATGTAAGTTGAAGATGATAATGTAAGTTGAGAATATGTTGGAGAACACCGTAAGTTGAAAATACCTTTATACAATATATGTACGCTTTAATGAAATCAATATGTTATAAACATGATAAAAAAGAATAAAGATAACGAAAACGTTAAATTGTTGATTTTTTTTTAAAGTACAAAAAGCACCCCACCTCTAATATTGTAATAAATAATTCAATCAAATTTTGTGATTGTCCTTCTCCTTTTCTCCATAGTAACACGATTTAACATTAGTGGTGTTTATTATTTATGCATAAATTGAGTTCACTATTTACAACTTACAAACAATGTGTTTTGCGGGGATTAAAATTAGATTTTTTAGTGGATTGTGATAGCAGTTTTTGAATGGTGTGGTTGAATTATTTTCAACAATAGTAGAGTTCGATAATGACAATATAAGGAGCAATAATAGCTGCAAACGATAATGGCAACAAAGTTATAATATAACTTGATAATGTACAACGCAGTAGGGGGAATATTTGATATACAACGTCAACAACAACATTGAGCGGTTGTTTAAGAAACTTGTATTACAATGGGGGTTCAGCAAACTTTTCCATATGCGACACGATGAATCTCAAGTGATAATTCATACTTGAAATGTTAAGATTGCAAATGTGAGAATTTTGCACATTCCATATGTTGACATTTAATACCATCAAATTGGAGCTTTCGAATATTTAAATTCATATAATAGCAAAAAGGAAAAATAAAGAGTTTCAACGGTTTTCAAGTGTCAAAGTCAACAGTTAAATTGTCTATCCCAGCAGTGAGTAAATGTCGAGTTCGACAGTTCAAATGTTTAACCCGATAGTTTCGATGACACTACTCGACAGTTGAACTGTCATAAATTTCGGGAAAGCTTGAAAACCATGTATTTAGTTCTTTGGAAGAAATTATTGAAAACATAAATGGTGATAATCAATTCTTAACTACAAAATTACAATATCTTCCCACAAATAAATAAGGAATGACTTAATGCTTCATTAAATATGAATTTTTTCACATTTCTCTAGAGGATATTGGTATTTTTTCCCTTTGAAAAATATATAAAAAATAAAATACATTAATGAATAAGAGATTCAAAAAGTTCAATTAAATATAACCATGTTATATTAAACATCTAAAGTAGTAAACTATGAGATAAAAATATAAACAATTTCTAGTAGCTCACCTTTGAAATTGATCAATAACTTTCCCTTGTTGATGATGGAATGAAGATGAGGAAAAAGACGGTAGGGTTTGTGTTCATACACGCTTGTGTATTTTTTTTTTAACCTTTCATCCATTTTTTTAACAAAAATTCATATTATACAATATAATAATTATATCTTAAATGTTTAAAATACATAAAACAAATCATTATATCACACCATTAATTGCATTCAAATCAAGCATTTATTGCCACTAAAAAGGTGTCATAAAGAGTGAAATGGACATTTTGCATAAAAAGTGACATTTTTGAAAGAAATTTGTGCAAATGAAATTTTTTAATGCATTGTCAATTTTAGTGACATTTATGTAAATTCCCCATTTATAAATAATCTATAAAGGTTCGTTTGATTGTAAAGATGAAATTGAATTGCCTAGAAAACGAATTCCAGGAAATTGAATTTTCTAAAATTGTTTTCCTGGAAATTTTAAATTATTGTGTTTGATTGGTATAATTTTTCACTTGAAAAATGTTGAAATAAAAGTTTTTTTGTTGTTCGTTTGACTTTGTTTTACATGAAAATTGTCAATTAAATGGATGAAATATATATATATATATATATATATATATATATATATATATATATATATACAATAATTCTTAAAATTTGTTTCCATTACCCAAAAAATAAAAAATAAAAAATAAAAAATTGCTACAGCACCCTAGAGAATCAATTCCCACCATATAGAAAACCACACTTTCCAAGACAATCAAGATTGGAATTCCATGGAAATAATTGTGCTACCAAATAACAAAAAAATGGAAGAGATGAAATTGAAATTCCATTTCCATGTAATTCCTACCATCAAACACGGCCTAAAATGCTTCTTCCCTATTCCTTAAAAGACTACCCATAAAATACTACCCATTCTTTAGTTCCTCCTTTTCACACTTGATTTATCAAATTGGTTTAGCAATATTAATGGTTTGGATCTGGGATTTACTGTTTTTGAAGCCCAAGTTCCATTTGTACAAATTTTTTCGCATGTTTGTTTGTTTGTATCACTTTTTCTCCCTCATTTCTTCAAAGAAAGAAAGCAAACGCTAGCAGAGTCGAGCCATTTCTGATTCTTCCACTAGAATCATTGTTGGCTGTCTATCTTTCGTTGTTTGTTGTCGATTTTACAAGGTTTTTCTGTCGTTATTATGATTCTTCGAATAGAAACCTTAGCGGTGTACTCTCATTTGATTTTTTTCAGTTATTACACAAGAAACCTTGGTTGTAGTCGATCTTTCAAAACTTTTGGTATTGTGCTGTGATTTTTTTATTCATTTGTACCCTTTTGGAACTCAAGTCGTGCAATTTTACTTTCGTCTCAAGATTTTCAGGTCAGATTTGATACAGAAAGTGTTCCTTCGTGTGAATGTTCCGATGTTTAGGTATTGTGTTCAAAGCTATATTCTTGTTGTGAAAAGGTAAGAAGTTCGTACATATTTATGTATCTTTCGAATGATTTTGTTCATTTAAACTATGATAATATGAATAATCATTTATTTTATTTTATCTTTCACACAGATCGTTTTCATTTTCAATCTTCGAGAATTATGCTGTTGTGCTACACACTGTATTTTCTTTGTGAAAGGTCGAAATTCTGACACATCTTTGTGTGTTTCTACATGCTGGATTTCATGTAATTACGTGGAATTATATTGTAGTTGTTGATCAATTTTTTGTTACAGATTTTCAACATGTATGAAAATTGTCAAGAAATTTTTGCCAATTGTGAATCCGGTGTTGTTCCAATAGCTAAAAAAATTTGTGGGGCTCAAATAACTAGGTATTCTCTTCTTCTCTTTGCACACTTCTTTCCTACTGTGTGTGATGGTTATTAGGATTTCTTAATGGTTGTTGAGTGTAATTTAAATTCATGTTAATTTGGAGTATTTATCTTAGCCAATAATTCTTAGGGTTCTAATAATATGACAAGGGGTTCAAGATGATTGGGAGGAAATTGAAGAAGAACAGCGTGGCTCTTGATGTTGTTAACTTTGGTGAGGAAGATGACGGAAAGCCCAAGAAGCTTGAGGCATTGGTTGCTTTTGTGAATAATAATGATAGTAGTCATGTTATGAATGTTCCTCCTGGTTCAAGTGCTCTTTCTGATGTGCTCATCGGGTTGTAAGGCACTTTTCCAGTTCGTATGTTTTTCACTGGAGTATGGTCCTATATTTTATTTTGAACGATTAATTGTTTTGCATAATTCGACATGTTCATTACAAGAATTGCATTCTATGCTTTTTGCAATGAATATAAGTGGAGCGAACATTGACTGATGACCAAAGAGATGAATTTGAGGACATACTACATATGTTGACTTTAGAAAGAACCCATATTAAACAAACTATGGGGTTTTCCTTGGATAATGCTGATACGGCTAGAGGGGTAATTATTTACGCTGATTTTACTATAATTGGTTTTTCGACTCGTTGAATAAGATCTCGAGCCACGTAATGCCTTTGAAGCTATCTTAATCTGAATTTAAGATTGACTCTAGAATAACATGGGCAATGAGGCTAAAATTGTTAATTATGTATTCAAGTTCTAGACTATCCATTTGATACATTATATTTTTTGTAGGCAGTGGATGGCGGTGGTGTTGCAAGCAAAAGATGCACCGGAATGGGCTTATGGAGGAGAATGAACTGTCAAGTTAATCTGGTTCTTGTTTATTCTGGAAAATCTCAAGATTTTGTATGTTTTCTTCTCATCTTTTTTATTCTTACCTCCTATTGAATCAACTATTTTAGGCTTTCATTTTTTCTTATTATGTGAAGTTTAAGACCTCTCTCTCAATATGGTATATAAATATTGTCTTTAACATACTGATTTTATGAAAGAAACACCCTTTTAGTTATTTATTGCTACTATCTTGATGGAAAAATTGATTCACTTCTAAATTTTTATAAATATGTTTAATTTTTCTTCTTCCAACAATTAATAATTCAAGTCGTTATAATTATTTATTTGATCTTAATGAAACTGGGCCTAGGCTTATCTAAGGAGGTGGTTTTCTAGAGTTGTCTGCTTTTGAACCACTCTGGTGCATTATGAATATTTTTTGGGAAAAAGTGAAAGCCGAAAGAAGAATACTCCATGTTTCAAACATTGAATGTCGAATGTTGTCAAGATTTGATAAATGACCTCTCCTCTATTATAAAAATTAGAAGAAATCTGTTATCTTCCAATCTCTTCATTCCAAATGAGTTTATTCTTTTCTTTTTGGCCTATTATAGCTGCTCTTCGACATTCATTACAGGATAGACTGAGCAAAATCTCAAGCAAGAGTCGCAATGAGAAATATTTAAAGTTTTAAATAAGTATATGTTTGTGTCGTTTTAGACCACTATTTGATATTCTCAAAAACATAATTGTAAATATGCATATTTTTGTTCTATCGCCTTCACATGTCAATCCTCGTTGCCATACATTCCAAATTATTTTCCTTATGAGAAAAATGAAAAGAGAACTAGGAAAATTTTGGCCTTATGGTATATTGATCTTTCTACATAATTGAAATATGAAGTCATCTTCCATTTCTTTCCAATTGAAAAAATTTTAATGTAATTTTAATGACAATAGTTTTCTTCTTGGTTGCATTTTTAATATTAAAGGAGATAAATGTCAGAGAATCTTTAAGCTTTGCCCATGGCTCCCATGTCTTATAAGGTTTCAACTACTATTGGACAAGAAATCGTAAAAATAGCCTCAAACCTTCTAATTGATACCAGTATTACATATTAATTTTTGGCATTTTATACGATATGCTGAGTTTCTTTATATGTAGCTCCGCCATGGAAATTGATTGATTTGCCTAGGGTAGAGAGGAAATCTCTATGATTCTTTAGTGAGTAGCTTCTAAACATATTCTCGTATATTTCAACTGCAGTTTCTGCAATAATCTATAATGAATTTTTCTAAATGAATCTTTTGAATAGTTTAGATTTGATACCTAATTTTGGAAGTTTAATATCCCTGTTTCTTTTTATGGATTCAATATGCTGACACAGTGATGCAATATTGCTGGTTGTAATTCCTGCTTCTCGGTCCCCAAAAGTTACCACATGTAAAGTTATTAAAATTTCTAAGGAACTTGATGGAGATCCTTGCTCAAGAGATCCAAAATTGTATGAAACTTGGGCTTCTCAATCTCCTCTCTGGGTGTATTATATCCTCCAACTGCTTGTGTTTTGTTTTCTGTTTAGTTAATCCATCTACAACAGATTGATTCTATTTGTTAGCTTGCAGAAGAACTGCTTCTAGTATGCTTTACGTAGTCCTTGTCCCTTCAGAATATAATGTGTAAAAAGAATCATCTCTCTCCATTATTGTGCATGGGAATTGAGGTCTGCTGCCTTGTACTGTACTAGAGAAATAGGCAAATATCTCCAATAGTTGCAAATCATTATCGTCGTTAATATGTGACATAAATACTGCATTCTTCTTTAGCAGAATCAAAGTGAACAACAGATGCTATTGCATTTCAGTCTCACATTTTCTGATTTAATTGAAAGTTATTTTTCTTTCAGTACTTGTCAAGTATCAATAATTCATGAGGTTGGATGATATTATTGGGATAAAAAGCACTCCAAGTGACTTTTATTTGATATTTTCTACAACGATTGCAGGCTTCAGAGAACATCCCAGATAGTGCAGAAAGAATTGGTTAGGCTTGATGAACGAATAGTGCTTAAGGCACAAAAGCTTTATCAATGGAGCTTTGCCATGAATTTGAGGATAAGTTCCTCCAGAACGTTACAACTGATGAGGTGAGACTTAGCTGTAAAAGTCATCTTTCACAAATTTTTGTAATCATAAAGGATTTTTAAAGTAATTAGGATGAAGAAAAATTTCATTGCAGCATCACTTGATGAGTGAAAGAGTATCTTCGGTACTGGAGCCTATATGGTCTTTTCTAGATCAAATTCTAGATGCCTATTTTCTCACTACTAGATTATAAAACATTGGCTTCTAAATGTTTGTACTTTTTTCTATATTTACAAATCAGGTTGTTTTATATTGCAGATTTTATATGTTCATCAGTTTGGTGCCAACAGGTTTTTACCGAACGCGCTAACATTACCTTCAAAACAACACAATCTGTGCGTTGCACGGGCAAAGAACTAGTATAAATAAAAAGTCTCTTAAAAATACTCTCTAAACACTTGAACTTTTCCTCCTTTTTTTGGACAAAACACTTGACGAACTTTAATAAATTGAATAAATAAATAATATTAGCTCGATGTTTGACAATCATTAAAATAAAATTATTTTTTCTCTCAAATTTATTTTTAAACGCATATTTTCACAATAAAATATTTTACGCGTAAACCTAAAATTCTTCCTACTAGTCATAAATTTGTCAAAAAATCACCATTTTAAAACTCATTTTCCCAACAAGTCCTTGTTAAACAACCATTAAAATGAGTTTATTTTAGGAAAATAAATTTTGAAAAGTTTCTTGAAGAACGAGCAGTTAAATAGTATGAAAAATTTTGAGTTTACATACAGAATATTTTATTGTGAAGACAAGACTAAGACTGTTCACTTGCTAATGTGATAGGAGAATCTTACGGTTCTCTCCAAATGTGAGAATCGTAAGTATGATTCTTTTCAAGTGAGTAAGATAAAACTTCCCACTATGAGTAAAATAACATTTCTTTAAGAAATAATTCGTCATCTTCTTCTGCACTGAAATACCAACCACCACCCCTTCAGCATCGGCCGACAGAACATGCCAGCCCAGGATGGAATTATAACAACTCTTAGCTTTGGACCTCTAGGATTCTTCTTGAATCATTTATGTCCTCTCTATATTCATTGAACTAGGTCGAAGTTCGTTGGACACTATTAGTTGCAAATTTACTAACTTGATCTGACAAAATAGTATGATTCATATTAGAATTGCAAATAAAGCATAAATGGGCTAGGAGTGGGGTCGGCTTTCGTTGAGGAGATGTCAACTTTATTTTTATACACTAATGCCATTCAAACTGGGCTATTGACAGGGATTTAAACAGGGGCCTTGGTTTGAATATCGCCTCTCGTTTTTATAATCTTATTTGATACTGGTTTTCAAAACAAAGTTCTCTTTTACCACTTTGTTTGCGAGTCGTTAAATGAGTGTCCACTGAACTTTATCCATGGTTACTACTTGCTCACTAAAAATTAAGTGATTATCTAATGTTTACTGAAATATTTATTAGTTTACTCATCCATCACCATAGGCATTGTCATATATATGGTGGACAAATATTTCTACGTGGCAGATGAAACAATGACGTGGCATACAAAATGGGTTAATCATACCATTTCATCATAAATTTGTATTTTATAAATGACAAAAAAATGTTAAATTAAAAAAACGTTTCTTCCCCAAATCACTTCTCCCAAATCACGCCATTCCTCCTTAGACTTGGAAGCCGAACAAGATGCCACCATGACCACGACCTCACCTCTGAAGCCCCGACGATGATTCAACCCACAAAAACCCATCAAAGTTTTGCAATATATTATCGATTTTATCTGACCTAATTTCAAGAGCAATTGTAAAAGATTTTATATGGGAATTAGAAAGAGAATTATTGAGGGCTGATGAATTCAGTACATCTCTTGAGAAATGGGTTGAATTGAGAATGAAGGTTCTACAGGAAGCAAATGGTGAGATTTCCAGGATTTGAGAGCCCAATTGGTGTAGATAATCTAAAATTTGCATACCCAGTATTGTTCAAGGCTAAATGGTCGCTCGTTCTCTTCCTCATTCTCACTAGTTACTACCCCATCCCCACAAATCATATATGTGTATATACTTTTGGGGTCTTAACATGTTATCTTTGTGTATATATAGAAATGCACGGAGGTTCGATTCTCTCTATTAATATTTTCTTAGTTGAGCCTGTCGCACAGGGCTTACCTAAGGCGGTTCACCTGGTTGGCGTGGTTTGCAAACTATTGCGTCAGTTCGAGAATTTACTCAGTGCACACTCAAATAGTAGCGGCTGCGGATTCCCCCGTCATAAAAAAAATAAAAATAAAAATAAAAATGCACTGAGGGAGGATAAAAGTTCATTTTGACTCTTGTTTTCACCAGATCAAGTTGCCCATCAAATTCAAGAACCCCCACCACAATCCATGAAGAAGACTTAGGTTATGACATAGAAAAAGGGCAGAACGATGATTTGAAGAGCGTAATTTTCAGGCTCAAGACTCCCCAAGAGGTGCACCACCAATATTTTACAGAAATGGATTGGGGAAGGCAATGAAATCACCATCCCTGACTAAGCCCTAAGAAAATCCCACTATTATCTGAATTGGGACCCAAAAAAAATGTATTGGGCATCATGATCTTGGTGAATATTGATTGTCCAGACATTAACAACAATGTTGGAGAAGTCATTTTACAAACAACACTTTATGCAGATGTGGAGTGATTAACGGAATTCGTTTCACACCCCGTCTCTTTCATTTGCTATGTGGAACTTTTTTGGTCAATTGTACAAATGGAAGTGACAATAGTTGTGAATGAATAAATTGATGAATACTTCAGTGTACATTGTTAACCTTTCTATTTTTGGTGAGCAAGTAGTAACCATGAATTAATTTCGATGACCACTCATTTACTTAACTCGTTTGTTTTCCCGTGAACTCTTTTTGCTCGCGAATGGAGGACAGAACTGACTAATGTCAATGAACTTTGATCAAATTTCCTTTTTGGACTATCAAACTTCAGTTTACCTCTTTCTTCTTTAGTAGAAGAGGACATATGATGTGTTTTGTGAGGAAGAAGTCCGTGAGAATGTAAAAAAGTTAATTTTGGTGGCTCGAATGGCCTTTCGGCCGTCGACAAATAGAAGGTTGGGGGATACATGTGCCGAGAAGGAAAAAAAACACTTTGCCTTCTTTATTTTTCCGAAGAGCAACAAGACGAACAAAATTATCAATGTTTGTCAAACAATAGCACCGCTTGTGCTTAAACATCGATCTAAATGACATTGATGTTGCATTAAATAAGAGGTATAATTAAATGAATCACTTAATTCTTATTTTCATTAAACTCGTCACTTAATGCCACCTAGACAGATGATGTAGAACCAATGGTGTTAAATAACATCATTCTTTTCAATTTAAAATCACATTAAAACTGTATATCTGATATGCAAGTGCAACTGATATTGTAATTATCGAACTTTCAAAAATGCATCAACTTCATGGAGCGTCAACAGTTTGCTATATCATGACACTGCATAAACATTGCAGCAGCGCCTGCTACGAACAATTGATATGCATCTGTGGAGTCGACCAAGACAAGTAGAGAGGCAGGAAGAGAGAAAAATATTCAACCAAGAATAGTGCCCAATAAAAATACAGTACAACAAACATTAAAATAAGGCTCATTATCAAAGCCTAACAGTTCAATTTATGAGAATTAAATTTTCAACAAAGCTACATGTACAGAATAATCCTCTACAGAAACGGTACAAAATACACACATGCAGAGGTGGGTGGGTTATTTTTTGTAATATTTTAATTCACAAGGGGTCCACCCCATTTGACTGTCTGTAAGGTTTCTGTAGATGATTTTTTTGTACAACTAGATTTTTCCTTAAATTTTTTAGGTTCTTGCCATTTATACAGAATTTTTTTTCACAAAAATCATACAAACACTCACGTGGAGACGGCCCCATGTGAATAAAATATGATTAAAAAAAACCACCCAACCCCATTGCATCTATTTTGGAGCAATTCTATCACTTTCCCTACTGTACTTGTAGTTTCTCTCAATTTTTTAATAGTCATTGAATTTATATTTCTACCATGATTCAATGAATTTTGAAAATATTTTTGAATAGTCACTAAATTTTAACATGTTGCACTCTATCACTCTCCAATCACGTTTCATTAGTCACTAATATTTATAATGCTTTCGAGTGGTCACTGAAATTTAATATATTACATTTCATCATTCACTTACCATGTTTTATTAATCCTGAACTTATTAACTAAACTTTAAAATGCTTCCGAATGATCGCTGATATCAATTGTTCGAAAATAGAAAAATTTGAAATATAAAATATTATGCATGAAAATGGCGTCGTTCTTTCCTCTTGGAATGCCTTGTGACAATTCTAAAAATTATATTAACTTAAATTTCACTGCCATTTGAGATAGAATTCTTTATTTTCTTAACTGGGGTCTACAATTTCAATCAAAATAAAGAGACAATTTTTCCATTTTATTCTCTCAAAGTAAAAAAAATTGAAGCTAGCATTTTTCCCCCTTAAACATAATTTTTGACGACTAAAGAAACTATATCTTTTTGACCAATATTAATATTCTTGTCATAGATTAAGAGTCTTATTATCTTGTCGATATCTATTTTATTTTCTTAATCTAGATCGAATCTCATAGAAAATAAACTCTACTCATAAACATTATGAAATTCAATGACCACTCGAAAGCATTTTAAAGTTTAATGAGTAAAGCGTAATAGAGATCTATGTTCAGTGACTAATGAAACGTTTAACTCAATTTATGATCTTCAGTGTAAAACATCAAAGGCTATTAGGAAAAATGCATATTACACACATTAAGAACCAAAGTAATTTCACTAGCCAAATATTTC